TAGAAATATATGAGCAAAGCAGGGCAGTCAAAAATAATATAATTTTCCACATAGTTTTGATACATTGTGAAGGTTAGAAAAAGCTCAAACTGTAACTGAAACTAAGGCTGACATTTTGGCGTTGCAAAATGTCAAATTTCGGTGCTATTTACTTTTTATATGGTAAACAATAATATTATTGAATATTGAATATATTAAAGCATCGTGAATATTTGCTATTCGCATTATTTTATAAGATATAATAGATATAATAGATAATTACAAGCTAAGTTTTTTTTTTACTTTCTAACCTAGGCAAGTCTTCAAGGTGCAACTTCGGAAAACTGATCTTGATGAGAACAGGGGAACGTGCCAGGGTAAAGTTCCTGATAGCATTCAATCTTGCCAACTCCAGGGTAGCTACAAAACACAGGGTAGCACGGCAGTAGACTCTTAGACCACAGGCGTACAAGAGAATGGGCACTGAGAGCATTCAGGAACGGGTAGTAGAAAGGGATTAGGAATCCCCAAACGCATACAGGGTAGCACGGAGCAAGCTTAGGACGTCTCCCGGCTTTGTACGCAGTAACCAAACCCCAATTGGTCCCACACCCATCACCGAATCATCGAACGAAGGTATCCAACGGGCAGACACGAGGCAATATTCTCTCTTCGCAGGAATCAAAGGAACGCATAAACAAAACTGGAATAAATTTAATTACTTATCTTTTCACTAGGATCTTTCGTAGCTTGCAATTATATAATTTTCTGTACAAACCCGGAACCCGGCTAGCTAGGATGGGCAACCTCATTAACTATTAACTTATATTTAATATGGCGTTAAAAGTTTAATTGAATAGAAAGTAATTCACTTCAAAAATAAAACCCCCGCTACTTTGCAAGATCCATTATAGAAAATATTAATTTGCCAAGAATACAAATAGGTTAGCATTCAGTAAGATTCCGTAATTAGTAATGACATTAAAAACGTGAACAAGCAAACAATATCACGCTTAAATATATATATATTTTTTCTTTAATTTTCAACAAACACAAAAAATATAGCCGCTCCGAAGTTAATATTCTGAACGTGCTTCAAATACCCTTGACAAGGGCACTAGATGTCGCTCTGCCAAGCCTCACCTCATTTAATACAAATGCAAAATTATTAAGAAAATGACAAAAAATAAAAAGAAAAGTAAAACGAGGGGACAAAAGCATTAGCGAGGCAGTAGAAGAATAAGTGTGGCTATAAATAGGGAAAAGAGCTCGCAGCTCATTGGACCCTTGGCCACTGTCTTTGCGAAATCCATTAACTTTATTAAGGAGCTTTAATTAGTTACCCTCAACTGTCCCGATGCCTACTTTTCATTAATTACCGGGGCGACCCGCTCCGCGCTGGGAGCTCCTCTCTAATCCCCGGGATGAGCCCAAATGAGTCGAGTCGAGCCAAGGCAACCACTTAAAGACACTTCTTACCTTTTGATGGCCGCCTGCGGCCAAATAAATTACAAACTGCGACAACAATGGGGGTCCCGGGGATGACTGGCACTCCAGGGTTTTGATTGAACACTCGCATCCTAAGTTTTGACGTTAATCTTTGATTGGAGGGGGCAACGGGAGACGGGGAACGGACGACGGACGGCGATGGCAATGGAGCTCTTCGTTTTCGCTGACACTTCATTATGTGATTTTAATATGAATATACATACAACAATGGCCCCATTTGGAGGGTAGTTTCTGGCCCGGCCTGGCCCGGCTCTGCGATAGAATCTCATTTGGACCCCAAAACGTTTGATCTTAATTAGTGTACTTGAGCGTTCTTCGCTCCTCTTCCGCCGAGTTCGAGTGTCGGCTTTGCATCAGCGAAAATGACAAAATGTCGCAAATCACTCGGGTCGGCGGCACGCGGTGTGGGAGGTCCTTGATTGGCATCATTTTCCTCCCGATTTCGCTCCTGCCTTTGCCTTTTGTTTAAGCGGATTTCATTCGCATATTAATTGAAGTTTACACAGCACCAAAAAGTAGCTAACCCGCCGAACACTAATTAAACTTGAATTCACACTGTACAAATGAAAAGGATACTTTATTATTATCTATATCGGACCAAGTTCCATATCCCAGGTCAACTGTGCTTGTTAGCTTTCAGAAAAGTATGATTGTCGATAATCTTTACTTGAAATGTATTCTATGTAGCGCAATACTAAGATCATTCGGGAATTTTTACTAAAAAACAATGTACTTGCTCTGGAAGTTACCCTGAATACTCTCAGTGCATTGACATCGAATTACCTAATAGAATGCGGAGTGGGGTCATTGAGTTCCGCGTCAAAATGTCAAGCATGCTGGCGAGCTTAGTGTGGGTAAATATTTTTCAATTAAAATCGCTGCCTGGCTATTTGCTCAGCACTTTAGCGACACGCATAAAAATTTAGTAGACTCATAGACGAAGGTATTTCGATTGCCAAAACGGAGGGGGAGTGATGCTGGGACAGAGGACTCATTGAGACGTGAACGAGGAAACATGAATGAGATGGCTCGTTCGAGCTTTTACAAAGGTAATTAAAGAATAGGAGGATATTTAATTAAATTGTATATACACTTTTGATGATCAAAACGCGTAGTATATTTAAATCAATTCATTTAGTAAGTACAGTTCAGAACTTATTATCAATGGTTAAACTCAGCTAAAAATGCATTTAAACAGAGCTTAAATATAGTCATTTGCAGAGTTTAAAGCAATTAAATGCCCCTGTTTTTTAAGCACACACAGTAAACTTTCCATAACTCATTTTACAGCTGAGCGAGTTCAAGTGGTCTGCTTCCCTGTGGACACAATATCAAGCATACGCCATGTTAGCAACGCTTTATGCTCAGTTTTGGCACACACTTAATTACCCGAAAAGCCAAGTCAGAAAAAGCAGAAACTGTTGTGCCATATCTTCCGTAAATTGGCGAGGACCCTGCTACCCCCCGAATGCGGTGCTTAACTTTTCAACTGCAGCGCCAAATGGAAGCCTCAGTGGCAACAAGAACAAGAACAACGATCAAGCAGCAAATGCCCTGCAAAGTGTCGATAATTACCTGTAAAAGTTTGAGCCAAACCATTAGCAGCATAATGAGGCCTGTCTAGCATAGATTTCCCAGCTCGACCCAAGCAGCGCATTCGGTTAGACCCACTATCCCCCTATTCCTCAACCTAAATGAAACAAAAACGGACGGCAGAGCTCGCTTAAGAGGGGCGCAACAAAAAAAAAAAAGTGAAACAACACAACTAAAACTTTCACCCATTTGAACTCAAGGGCAAGTGCGGGCAGCGGCAGCTGGAGAAATGCTGGAGCTAGAGCAAAAATAATGGCAACAGCCACACTTGACTGGCGTTGAAAGGTTCATAATTAAAGGGGAAAACCCCAAAAAAGCCTTGAACTCATTCAACCGGCTGTGGCTGCATTGCGTGCAGTTTGGCCTGAAAGTTGGCCAAGTTGCCCAGGCCGCACAATTGTTGCACGCACACAGGCCAACCACAGCCAAGTGGAGTAGAAAAATACCTATGGGCGTGTCCCCACTAGAAGGCCAGTTGCACTGAAAATATTTACCAATTTATTTCATTTAAACAAGGTTTAATATCAGCACGAAACAAGTAAACCGATCATTCAATTTGTATACTTACAACAGTCATTTTGTTTTAATAACTTAACCAAAACATTTTCAAATAATATTAAAAAAAATCGTAAGATTTCCATTTTATATTAAACAGAAAACAACCGAAGTCTTCAGAATAGAAAAGGGATCAGAAATGTAGCATGTCATTATACCCTTGCAGGGTATTATAATTTCAGTCAGAAGTTTGCAACGCAGTGAAGGAGACGTTTCCGACCCTATAAAGTATATATATTCTGGATCAGCATCAACAGCCGAGTCGATCTAGCCATGTCCGTCTGTCCGTCTGTCCGTCTGTCTGTCTGTCCGTCTGTCCGTCTGTCCGTCTGTCTGTCTGTCCGTCTGTCTGTTTCTACGCAAACTAGTCCCTCAGTTTTGAAGCTATCTGAATGAAACTTTGCATATAGTCTTCTATATGCTCTCACTGCTATATATGTCGGAATGGGCCGGATCGGACGACTATATCATATAGCTGCCATACAAATGTTCGATATATTTGTAGAACAAAAATTATAACTTGGCTGTTTTTCAACATTTTTGCACCATTTTTTAGATATGGCCATTTTATATTATTCCAGAATTTTGGTAAAAATTTTATGAAAATCAGACGACTATATGATATAGCTGCCATAGGAACGGTCGAGAAATAAATAGGAAAAAAAATATAGCTTCGTTGTTTTTCAACGTATGTTTATCTACTCTGAGATATACGCTTTTTTTATTGTTCTAGAATTTTGGTATAAATTTCATAAAAATCGGACAACTATATCTTATAGCTTCCATAGAAGCGATCGGTAAATGTATAAAATATATAAAGCTGGGAATGTAAAACTGTAACTGTCAAACTGTAAACATAATAAGTATAGGTAAAATGTAATGAAACTCTGTTTTGTGAGTGTTTTCAGCATTTAAATCTATAATATAAACATAAAAACCAATCTGCAAGGGTATACAAACTTCGGCGTGCCGAAGTTAGCTTCCTTTCTTGTTTTTACTTAACATATATTTTGTTTTGTTTTCAACAAACATTAGATATTAACATTAAAACAAAGATGAAATTGTGTTATCTAATAATTTTCTGTGTAATAATTTGTCGATTGCAAATGCACATATAGACATACTTCTCAACACATATTCATATTTTCCTTGGGGCCTGACCAAGTTTTCCTTGGACTCTAATTACCATCTTTGACTTGAAGTTGGCGTGGTCGAAACAACTTTCTGCCTGGTTTAATTTCTTAATACTTTACTCAATTGTTTCTCCTTGATTTTGAAGGAACTGGTGTTGACACTTAAGACTTATCATCTGTTATTTACTATTTATATTTATATTGAAATAGCAAACGGTAAGCCCTTTTTAGTTCAACTAAACAATGCGTGGTTTATTTTAGACAGTTAAATTTTGAAGCCTAAGCCAACATATGTAGTTTTCACGAACGTCGGTATGTAAAATAAATCTTTTGAGATTAATGCTTGTCATCATGTTTCTTAGCCTTAGCTTTTGGATCAGCCTTGGTATCCTTTTTCTCTTGTTTTCCCTTCGGGGGCTGCTTACCCTTCGGCGGTGGCTTGGAGAGGTCCACCTGCTCCTTGGGCTTCTGTTCAACATCCATGACCAGCAAGGCAGCAGCAAATGCAATAGCTAGGACCACAGCCACATAGCCGGTGGCATAGATCTCGGGGATCGTCAGAAACTTGTTCAGACCCCAGATCATGTGCCGGGTGGCAGCTACGGCGTGGTATGCAAATGGCGCCACCAACATGACCCTCGAGGCCGTCATAACTACGGGGCAGTCGCAATCCTCGACCTTTTTCACCAATCCCTCCATGTCCCCCTGCATGCAGAGTCCGGCTATTCCCAAGGCCCAAACGAAAATAGCCAGGACAAAACCGCTAATACGCAGGCAGATGGACAGCAACGAAGTAAGCTGTATCTTATAGATAGACAGGTGGGGCGACATTTCCCGTCCCAGTAGCATATTGCGGTCGTCATATGGCAAATCGGGGACCGGGCGGAAGGGTATTACTTTCAGGATGACCGGCGGTTCAAGAACATTTCCGTCCGGCCCAATTGTCGTGGGTCCGCTTCCCCTGGCTTCCTTGTCATCTTTGGTTGCAAGCCAACGAGCAGTCGCCTCCAGCGGAAGGCCACCCGTTCGTGCCAGCGGTTTCTGGCTGAGGAGCTGTCTCAGTAGGGGACTTTTTTGCTTCAGACTTCTAGCCAATAGGCGGCTGTTCAGAAATTGTAGAGCTATAGAAGGGTTTTCAAGACATTATTTACTTACCTTGCGTACATCTTCAAAACAAAATTCACTGTGGGAGAACTAAAAAACCCAGTTGATCAAAAGTCAACGGAGTGAAACACAAGTATAGAAAAGCACATTTGTTATATTGTTTAGTTTAAAAATCTTCAGGATTAAGAGTTACTGTGACTGGGGCGGCTTAAACAAATTTCCGCCAGCTTAAAATATTTTACAAAGCTAAAATCGAGTACGTTACATTCTATTTTAGTGATTTCTTTACAAGTGATGTGGGAAATGCGATTGGCACCTTAATAGCATTACCTGACCAGGAACTGGAAGGCAAAATCAGCATCCTGTGCATATGCCATAAATTTATGCGACGATTGGATGAGCTACAATTCGATTTGCTGATGGCCAGGCGGCTTTATTAGATTTCTTTGGATTTACCATCCCGTCGCAGTTAATCCACCACCGGTTATATTCCTTCCTCTCCCGGGTTCACTCGCTGCCAATCGAAGTCTGATGTTGGTAATGGGAAGGCACATTAAAAGCATTTCTTCAACCACTGAAATTTCATTTGCAGCTCTTTGCAATCATTTGCCTAAATAAATACGTCGCACACAACAAAGCAGCCCACACACTCATACCCTGGCATACCCGGGCACAGGCATTCAGGAACATCTATACACACACTCTGGAAATCATTTCAATTTAATAAAATTCATTTGAGTTTTGCGTGGCTGCGGTTTGCTCTCCTTTGCCCGCCTGACACATTTCATGTTCATTTTCGGCTCTGCTCGCATGAATTTCTGAGTCCGGAAAGCTGGCAAAACTTCACGCTCAATTAGCATCTGTTATCGTTGCATTCGTCCCAAGCCGAAATTTATTCTTTGCCACACATCAAAGACATGCACTCAGTCACTCTTTCGCCCATCGATCAATCAATCAATCAATCAATCATTTGCTGGGAAAACATTTCATAAATCAAACGCATACACAACCCGAAATAAATATCGTCAAAGCACACAAGCGAACGCGGTCAGAGGGCAGGTTGATGAAATTAAAAATAATCGAATCAGTAGAATTGTAAAATAAATTACGGCTTCAGAGAACCTGAATAAAGTTGGCCTTGGCCAGTGCCAGCTGAAGTTTTCGTAGCTGTTGGTGTTTCGAGTATGGAAAAGTTGGTGTGTGTGTGTGTGTGAAAGAGCATGCCAAGGAGTCATTAAGCCTATATACGTATACTCAATGTAATGATAGGGCACAGGCGACGTAAGTTTCATATGAAATGCTTTATCAGACTTTATTAATTATATTTGAATAATAATAATTTGTATTTCTTCACTTTGTCATATTTTATTTGAAATATAGATGAATGTAATTAAATGTAGTCTTAATTTTAAAATTTATAATATATCTTTTAACTGAAAATAGCTGTCGCCTGGCATTATTTTCCGATTATATGAATATGCCGGGTGTGCTTTGTTCATGTACACATTTGAGTGAAAAGAGTGTTCTCGTCTGAAAGGCAAAATCGTAAAAGCTACCGCCAGGTCCCCGTTTTCTCTTATACAGACAGAAAAGTCAGACGATTGCTGTTGCCTTTCAAGGAACTCAATATGCGTATCCGTGTTTAATTAAGATTCGAGTTCGCGTCAGTATACGAGTCCTCGTGCCGGTGTGTGCGTTCGAGTCTCTGGCATATGAATACATGTATGAGCGCATGCATTTAATTTAATTTTCATTTCAATTGATTCGATGACTTTACGTTTCATTTTACGTCTCGATGCGATTTCAATTACAGCACTCTCCTCGGAGAAAGCTCTCACCTATGCGCGGTGTGCGACAAGTCGGGTCTCAAACCGTTGACGGATTCGCAAATTTATTTGCATATCACGCAATCTCAGCCAAGGACACACAACGTGTGCCGGTGAAAATTCATATGATTGCCAAGGAATACGGTTCAGGTATTGTTCCATTCTTTTTTGGGTATCAACTCTCCACAATTGTGGGCTGAATAAATAATTATAGGTTGATTATAAATTTTTTTTTAATAAGGCTATGGAATTGACTCAAGATTTGTATGTCAAGTGTAATAAAAATATGTTTTATATAATTTTCATAAGTTGTTGTACTTCTAAACTGCCTCATCGATTATTATTTCCTTTCACTTTCTCCAAAACTCCCTTCATTTTCCATTCTGCATATACTTTTGCACCTGTTCTACAGCCACCTTTCACTTGGTTCTAGTCTCGTTTGGCCATGGCTTCACACATAGTCAGGCTTAAAAGTTAGCCATACAACTTTTGCGAGCTAAGCCGAAAGCTAGGAGCGAGCACAAGCCAGCCGCAAAACTAAGCTTCTGCCCATTTTCCCCTGCTTGATATCCCTTTTCGCCAATAGGGCGGCTGCTATTTGGCATTGCATACTTCCCGGCTGATATTTAACGCCGCCGCCATTGCACTATGGGGCAAACGAGTACTTTTTATGGCACTTCTTATGCCATTCAAACGAATTTATATTTTTAGGTATATTATAACAACCAAAAGATATTTTAAGAAAAATTGACTTGGTTTTGGCATTTCCTAAGGACATATTTTAGTATGTGTTTGAATTTCAAATATTAATTGGTATTGTTAAATAATACAATTGTGTTGTATTGTAATACAAAAGTGTTGTTCTTTTGCATGATGCATATGACTTATACGGTATTCTATGATTCTGACCCTCTTTTTCAAATAAAAACAACTGGAAGAATAATTTTTTGTAATATGACTTGAAAGTACGGAATTTAAAAAGCCGTAATATAAAAAGTTCAAAATGCTTAGTCAATGAGTTGTACTTAACTTAGATTGCAAAGCGAGTCTCTGATAAACTTTTCTGTTTGTACGATTGCAGATTATTTTTAATTTTATTAGAATACATTCCGCTTAAATAAAAATTATCTTAACGATTTCTAAACAAGAAAGGAAGCTAACTTCGAAACGCCGAAGTTCGTATGCCCTTGCAGTTTGCAATTAAAATGTTTCGATACATGCTAACTAATTAAAAGAAAATAAAAACTATCAACCATTCGGGCAGTAAAGTAAACATGTGGCAGACCCATTGCTTAAGTATCCCCATATGGGTTTTATGATAAGCATTAAGAACTATTGATAGCAAGGAATTTGATTTTGTGTATTTTCAAAAAAGCTGCTTTCCAAAAAGCTATAATATGATATGGAGTCGAAATTTTTTGGCCGTTGAGTAAGTTCCAAGAGAAAATTGATTTTTATTGTGTTATATTTGAAACATTTTTAAAGCTTATTATCCTGCAAGCAGTCAAAGCTCTTATTACCAGATGCCACTTCTTAGAAACTGTAACTATAACGTCTAGTGAGAGGCTTTAAAATGGCTCATATATATACCAGGACATCGAGGATCCTGAATACTTGGCTGTCCAATAAAATTATAAACAACGGAGAAGGGAATCAAGCAAAAAGTAATAAGCCTTGATGTGTCTGCCATGTGAAACCTTGCATTTGGATTAGACATATACGCCGCCGCGCCACGCCGCCGCCGCCGCCGATTTTTGCCTTATTTGACGCGCCGCCGCCAAATTATGAAAATAACGGCGCGCCGCGGCGCGCCGCTGTTGCGGCATCGGCGCAGCTTCAGCGCGGCCTTCAGTGTCATTGTTCTTTATAAAACTTTAAAAAAAATAAATAACTCATTAAAATGGCCTTTTTGCCTTATTTGACGCGCCGCCGCCGCCGGTTCTTTCTGACTACTACGCCGCCGCCGCCGAGTCATTTTGACCTCTACGCCGCCGCCGATGCCTTTAACCATCGGCGTAAACCTCTAATTTGGATATTTTGTCGCTTTAAAGATTGAGATGAATCGAATGACAAAATGCACCGGAGGGTTGACGGTTAAGCCGAGTGAAACCAATCGCTTCCCTAAAGTGGCACTCAGCAGTGGATCCTTGGTAAAAAGAAACTTGCTAAAAGATTTTTTCGCTAAATTCACTTGGCTTTTGGACTTGAGCCATCAATTGTGAAGAGGCTTTACCTTTGGCAATCAAGTTGAATCTGAATATCGGCTCTTCATTCTGATGAAGAATATACTTATATATAAGAGTCGGAAATAATTAAATATAATAATAACCCCTGCAAGGGTATAAAAGAAGCTTTTAGCTAGAAGAAGTTATCGTTAACCCCATAGTTACGCATTTTTTCTGCGGCTGGTGCAAGGTTGCGACGTGATTTTCTTTCCACATTTGGCAGCCTAAGCTTTTGGTTTTTGGAACTTCTGCAACACAAAGCCATTTTTTTTTTTGTTCTGCCCGCCTTCAGTTTGCTTTTCCACATTCCCTTTGCCACTGCTGCTCCACTGTGTGCTCTTTTTTGTAACAAATGCAACGGAAAACCTATTTCCTTTGTGGATATGAGTAGGAAAATGCTTGTTAGCGCCGCATATGCCACAATCTCGTGTGTGTGGAACCTTGAACTTGTTGCAATGGATACGAAAACTGTTGGTTTTCCTTCACCTAGCCTTTTTGCCCTAACAATGCTAATTTCATTAGGGCAACCGGCAGGAAAAAAGAGAAAGCAGAAGTTCAAACACACGTAAATGAGCGCAAGGACAGATCGTGGCTAACATTTTACGTTTTTCCTATATAAAATGACAATTACATTTCGACAGTAGGATAAAAAAACTAAGAGAACCGAAAAAAGGTACATTGAAGTGAAAGCAAACTTTTAATTGCGCATACGACAGGTGTGACACGGCCAACGCAGCTCAAGTTGTGCGCGAGTGCGGGTCCAGGTGTAGGTGTTTCCAAGTGTGTGTGTGTAAGTTTGAGTGTGAGTTTAAGCAAAACTTTTCCAACATTTCCATCCCAATTAGTGGGCCACAGAAAACACACGAAAAACATTTGCAATTGACAAGCTTTTTGACAAACGCCTCTTGATTAATTATAAACACTTTTTTAATTAAATTTTTGTTCTTTTTCTTAATTAAAAAAATTATTAAAATAAAAATCTCAAGAAATTGTAAGCCACTTTGGTATATATGTATAAGTTGTTATTTAAAAATCTTCATCTTTGTCTTAAGCTAAAAAGTTACCTACTAATTATGTAAAGATTTATAGCCAAATGCATTATTGATCATTGA